AAGATAGAGAACTGCTAAAGACTGTTAACATCGAAAAATGTCTTATCTGGGACATATAGTAAGGGAAGTCGATATAAAATATTACAACTGATCCTTAAAGGCAAAATAGAGGGCCGTAGAGGTGTAGGAAGAAAACAAGTTTCTTGGTAAAAAAACATTCGTGAATGTTTTTTACGTCGGATAATTTTGATATGGCACGCGAAGAAGAAGAGGTTTGAACTTGTTATGATTTTCTTTTAAATTGTTATAGCAGACGTTGAATTTAAAATAATATACAGGGTGTGTCTTTAAAAAAAACATCTTTCATGCGGTACGGTGTTACGGAAAACTGAAAAATGAAAATCTATAACAACATATATAACAGTCTTTGTCACAAAAGTTCACCCTGCATACGAAAATGGAACTTTACAAAAATTGGCTATCATCCACATATCCAAAGTATCACAAAGTAAGAAGTTGCGAAGTTCACCACCCAATTCACCATGCAAAGATATTTATTTAATCAGATATCAAAGGCGATGCGGCAACGGTCGTAACTGCCTTCCGCTTACTGATAGTGCTTCTCAAATAAGTCCGCTATTAAAAGAGTTCCTATGCCTTAAGGATCTGAATCAGTATTCGAAATTTCTATGGGTCTGAAAAACCTGTCTTTTTCGTCACGTTGAGATCCATATTCAGTTTAGATGCAGACTCTCTTGCATAGTAGTGTGATGTATTACTAAAAAGCTGTTTCTTCAAATTCAAATTGTAACAATAACAACATAATCACTTGCCGACAGCTGATCCACTCTCTGTGTGCCTGTTACTACCGCCAATAACCTACCACTACCATCGATACGCGCTGAAGATGGAATACAAAATGCTGTGACAAACGGTTAGAACCAAGTTCGGTCCGGAGTACTGATCTGGCTGAAACTTCTAGCCCGGGTCTCTGAGTAATGACTAGAGCTGCATTCTTTCCCGCGAGTACTGATCGGCCGCTTCCACGGTCTTTCGTTATTGACTAAAGATCGTCATTCGTCTTACCCATCGGCAACATTTATGTTCCATTCGCCGGCATCGACATCAGAAATAACAACTCGTCAGTTTTATTTACGAGGATTCTTATTGTATGCATTGTATAGAAGTAAATTTTATTTTTGTGTTAATTATTTGAATATATTTTTTTAAATTCAATTTGCGTTTTACTATTTAAATTAAATTTGAATCTAGTGTCTAATAGAGCTGCTGGTCACAAAATAGAATTTGGTGGTTGTCTTATGGTATGTTGTATATTCTGTAACAACTGATCTTGCGCAGTCACCTCAAAAACAACTCCTGTTGTGTTGAAAAAAGAGTATTTTCACTACGTTTTGTTGCTATAGTAGATACTGAATCACAACTACACGAAATGCGGTAAATTCGTGGTGTGAAAACGGGTCTCATTGAACTTTGGCCGATCTTAGACTTTCTCCGTCTCCGATGATTTGAATATGGACTTTATTGGTATGTCCAAATTTGAATAAAATACATCCAACACTCTACGTTCTGCAGACACTGTATTAAAGATAACCTTGAAACAAATTGGCACTAAATCACTTCCGAGTTTTCAGCAAAACAAAAGGTTTAAACACTTGTAATCTAGTAATTAATACCAAAGCTATTGAGAGTATTCAGTCCAGTAATTAGACCGTAAGTACTTTATCGTTTAACTAAAACACACCACAAAGTCCGAATTAAATTCCCGAAACACTTTTTTGTTACTTATTTTTAGCAAACGATTTGTCCTATTCACTGTCTGATATTTCACTATCAGAGTCGTCACTATCTGAATTGTCTATCCGAATAATTGGAGGTCGGACCTCATCTATAACTCCTCGGTTGAAAAGACTGAATGTTATGTCTGCCTATACAATTTTGCCATTTTCTGCTTTATTTGTTCTAGCGATTCTTTTAAACTAGCGTCAGGAATAAAACCCTCATCATTTCCAGCATAATGTAGCGTTTACCATTACTGGAACGACTAGAAGAATAAGATTTCGTGGTGCCATCTTGCCAGGATGCTTTTGACATATTTCCTTTAGCGAAAATCCAAGTTTCATCTAAAAAGACAACTTGCCTCCGACTATCAAACCTTTTAATCTTCATGTATTTTCTTAAACAATGCCACCGTTTTAAAACAACATTAAAGAGTTTACACAATACTTGTCTTTTATTTGCCTTTTTATATCGAAAACCTAAATGTTTCAGCACTCTCTACAAACTTGTTAAACTAATATTTCACAGTTCCTTGTCTTTTATTTTTTTTAACACAGCCCTAATTGTTACATGTTCTTTGGTTTTATACATACTATATATAATATTTTTAATTGCAAGTTTAAATGACTGGTGCAAATCTAAAGTTTGTGGATAGCGACGATTTCTCTTGCTTACTTTATTTATTTCATCCTCACTCCGTGTTATTAATTCTTCGGAATGTCCTCTCTGAGATACCGCAAGCATCACATGTGTGTTTGTGAACTGCCATAACAGATGTCAATGGACCCATATTATTTTTTTCCAAATTTAAATAACTTTCGACTTTCAGAACTAAACGCCGTTCTTCTAGAGATAACACTCTACGTTTCGACTGTATTTTATTTTCTTCCAAATTACTAATTTTACTTTAAAGTACCGCTTCACTACAATACTATAAAAAATAGGTACTTATATACAACTACTATACTCTAAAAAGGACGAGGATTGTATAACAGACGAAACAATCGATCACAACTTATTTAACAGCCAATGCTAAACAAGCATAAACACTGCATTGATTGTGATTGCAAAAACCGTTCGCATGTTTTAAATAAGATTTTTGCTGATTATGTATTTTGTTAAATTATTAAATAACACCAATACAACCCACGATAATCAATTAATTTGTAACGATAAACAGAAATATAATAAGATGACAAGTTTGAATTCAATCTACTTTGTCGATAACAGTGTCGTTAACCGAAAGATATTTTTAAATAGCATGAATCATTTTTCAATGATTGTGTGGATTTAAGAAATACTTTACTAAACAAATTTTTAAAGTTTGAATAAATGAGATTACAATTATTATGACACATGGTACTCCTTATTTTTCAGGTTCAGTTCTTGTAAAGACATAACTTTGATTATTGGGTAAACCTACATTATAAGATACGCCAGAAGAAATTTAAAAAAAATCAACATGTAATAAATTCACTGTTTAAATAAATATTCCGTACTCGTACTATTGCAATAAAATATTAAAACCAATAAGAGATAACTTGTTGAGCAGTGCTGAATGAAAAAACAGAGCAGTAAAATCTTATTCATAAAGGTAGTATAAAATATATCGCCGCTTATCTGCTCCGTTAGTAATAAAGTTACCAGCATTTAATTGCAAAGCGGTCTTCTTAGGTGGAAAATACTTTATATGATAGTATCCTGAATGAGTCATATTTTGACGAGAATATTATTATTCACGTTATATTTAAATGCGTGAATGAAACTATAATTGCGGGAAACATGTAGCAAGATAAGATCACCAAAATTCCACAAAACAAATCGTATATTGTAAGTTAAGCAAAGCGTATGCAAAATACTAAAAAGTAGATAAAGAGTACAAAAAAAGATTCAGATTTCATCAATTATGAAAAAAAATTTGTGAAAAAATGATGTACTAACAAAAATGATCTGTAAGATATAGTAAATAAACAAAAAAAAATTAATTCAGTATTAGAAACAAATTCAAATATACATTACCTTCCTTCGTTTGCTACTTTTTGCACGTAATCTTTGTCTTTATAATCAAAGACACAATCTGCTCCCAATTGTTTTACCAATGGCACTGCATCTTCTGCGCAAGTACCAAAAACCTAGAATAATAAATGTACAATTATATGTTCTTATGGCGGTACTACATTTCGCCATGTGTTATTCGTTATGCGCCATATTCGGTCACATAAGACGAAGTCTGGAAGGTATATTCGTCAATTATTTGCTTTATTTGTACCCATAAGCAAATACCTGAATGGCAAATACGCATGTCCGTCCACTTGTCGGTTTTTTGACACGTTTCAAAGGGTACAAATAAGCCGAATGCACGCCCAATGTATGTGTCGACTGCCCACACTTCGCTCGAACCGGTTCTGTTATCTTAACCTAACTTTATTGTAATTCTCGTTATTCTTGACCATTAATTCGACAAATTTGTGTGTTTATATACAACTATCGTATCTATTAAGCTTCGATTTATGGTGTACCTACTGTGAAATGGAGTAAAAATAAAAAGTCAATGCGATTTCTGGCTTTGAGTAAAAATAGGTTGAAGTGACCGTCAATACGTCATGTCTATTTTGGTTCTGATAAACACTTGAGAAACACTGAGAAATATTTTGCATGTTTGGCCCGCAGGCACAAGTATGGAGTAGCGTATTTGTTCGTTGACGATAAAACAAATATTTGGGCAAATGCAACGAAGCCACATAACAAGTAACACATAGCGAAGTGTGGAGCCGCCATATGTTATAATTAAGATCAAATATTTAGTGGTAAGGAAGTTATAAAATAACATAACTAGTACCTCTATATTCCTGAGAGGTCAAACCTGAGATATAACAAGCAAATTTATTACACATATTTATTTGGATATTCTTTTCATTTTATGATATTATCATTATATGTTATGAAGTAAAAACAAATAAGAATACATAGATGTGGACTATTTTTAGGTTAGTTAGGTATACAGCTATATGACATTTTTCCATTTTTATGATCCATTTTTCTTTGATCTAAAATGTTTATTTTTAACTTTGGTTTTGAAGTTCCTTCCTCGCTCCCAAAATGACTTTTACAAAAGTTCATCAGATGTCTTCTTAACATTATTCTTCCACTTAAATGGTACATTGCTTATATCTCTTACTTGTAGTTGCTCTGTTAGTAATTTTAAATGTCCATTGACCATGATTCAGTAGGTATGGTTCATGTAATCTTGTTGCAATGTGTACCTTCTCTGTTTCCTTAATCTCTTCTTTTCAATGAAATTTGCTTGTTTGTTACAAATATTATAAATATATTTAGTATTTTTTTTAATACTACAAATCCAAAATATAAACTTTGTTGTACTCACCTCACAACCTCGAGCTTTAAGCAGCTGAACTGCACAAGTTCCAACCCCTCCTGAAGCACCTAAAATTAGCACTCTTAATCCTTCCCTTTGTTTTGTAAATATATTTCCGAAAACAAAGAGTGCACTCCATGCTGTCATAGTTGTATATACTAATGATGCACTTTCCGCATGATTTAAGTGTTTTGGTTTTGGTAAGATCTAAAAAAATACAGTAATATTTTATAATAATACTGCTTAACATAATTAGAAAAAGCCTCCAGGTAAAAAAAAAAGAAATGACAAAGCAAGACAAAATTACTCAAAATCAAAATTATTAAATATACCATATAAACATACAACTACTAGTCACACGGTCACACCATGAAAATCTGAGGGAGAGAGTAATTGATAGACGGATACATGATGAAACCGAAATATCGGATAATCAATTTGGATTTATAAAAGGCAGAAATTTCTATTCTCCTCGGCGCAGATTTCTGTTATAAACTTTTCTCGGATGGCATAGTTTACCTAGGTAAAGGACTCTAAACTATGCAAAATACCTTGTTTGGTTGGATTGTTGATAGTTCAGTTGACAGTAAATATCATCGTCACAAGGATTCTCCTAATTCCTCTCTAACTTTGGATCAGTTAGTTGTGTCTCGTATAGAACAGGACTGCTCTCTGGTCTGTATCGTTGCTAGTATCAAAGAAAAATTATGAAAACCTTAATACTCTCGTGGAAAGATTTTGGGAGGCTGAAAAGATACCTGTAATCGATACAACTGGTTCTCAAGCTAAAATGACGAAGCGTATATTTAAAGAAACAACTAAGATATTGCCGGATGGCAGGTATCAAATCTTTATGTTCCCAAAATGCAACGTCTAAATTAAATAACTCGTATAAGATAGCACCGAAAAAGTTTTTGAATATTAAAAAAAGATTGATTGTTAATCCCGAAATGTTTGCTCAATATCATTCATCATTTAAAGGTAGGAATTTCACATATTGTCAAAGATCCTAATCACGTAGTAGGTAAATATCAACACTTTATTCCTCATTTTAATGTTTCGAAGCAGAAAACGAACGGCAGTATACGAATTGTGGTTTACTATGGTTCTTGCCCTACTTATAATGGCATTAATTTAAGTGAAATAACGTTGAATGGTGGAAATTTGTAGCCTTAAATCTGACGATTTAAGTAATGTGTCCTTGAAACCTGTTGCAGATAATTGAGTATATTATAAAGTTGTTAAATGAGTTAAATGCAGTTCATACATTAGTCAAAGAGTTTTAAAAGATAAAGCGAACAAGACCCATACGATGCCCTTAGTCTCCAATGCAATTCTAAATCAGACATACATATGTAGATGGTCCTTAGCCGGTACGCAAACGTTAGGTGAATTGCAAGTATTCCGTTTCCATTCTGAATGTAGCTTGTTTTTCTCGTCATAATTTTAATAAGAAGGGTGGTCGGAGAATATGCAAACGTTAGTAAACATATAAGATATATAAAAAATTCAATTGAGATGTAAAAAGAGAAGTAGTGAAAAGAAAAACGGTGATGTGGGATCGAAGATGTGCAGAGGTGGATAGATATATGGGTGGAACAAGAGTTGGATAAGCATGGAAGGTGATAAAGTATTTCCGGAGAGAAGGAAAGGAAAAATCTAACTTACAGTTAATAGATCTGAAACAGTGGAAACACCATTATGAGGTCTTATTGACAGAGGATGGAAGAAATATCCGAACATACACAAATAATTGAGATAACAACAGGAGAGTTAAACGATGCCCTCAAAAGATCGAAAACGGTAAGGCAGTAGGACCTGGAGACATCCCAATTGAGTTGGTAAAGTATGGATCAAAAATATTACATGAGATGTTGGTTCAACTATTTAACAAATGCTTAAAGGACAAAATATCCCTGATGATTGGAATGTTGGATATATCAGCTCAATATTAAAGATAGGAGATAAACGCAAATGCTATAATTATAGGGGAATAACTGTTATCAGCTGGGGAGGTTGTACGGCCGAATAATAAAAGAAAGAATAGAATCAGAATACGAAGACATAGAAGAACAAAATGGATTTCGTGCAGGAAGATCGTGCACTGATGGTATATTCGTTCTGCAGCAGGTAATCGAAAAACGGAAGGCAAGGAATCTATCTACCCACCTATTGTTGTAGATTTAGAGAAAGCATACGATACGGTACCTTTGAAAAAACTATTCAAACATGACGAAAGTAGGTCTCAGTAGAGAGTATGTGGATGCTATCGCAAATATATACAAAAATGCAAGAAGTGTGTTAAAGAAGGAAACTTTATATCTGAATCATTTCCAATAACAAAGAGGCTTAAACAAGGATGTTGTCTACATCCGACCTTATTTAAAATATATATTCAATCATTGCTAAAGCGGTGGAGGAAACAAGTATCCGGAATGGGAATAGACATAGGCGGTGGTAAATGTCTAACAACTTTATTTCTCGCAGATGATCAGGTAGTCGTAGCAAATGATGAGGAAGACATGGACTACATGTTTAGAAAATTAAAGAAAGAATATGAAAAATGGGGCCTCAATATGAATATGTTAAAGACAGAGTATCTTAAAAGAGGAGATGATGAAGAAGATTTAGAGTTAAAAATTAGAAACACAAAAACATGCAATGAATATAAATATCTCGGATCTATAATATCTAAAGAAGGCACTATCAAAAGAGACATCGAAAACAGAACGCTACAGGGAAAAAAGCGGTAAACATTCTAAACTCTCTACTATGGTCTAAAGATATTAGACAAGAAACGAAATTGACAATCTATCGAACCTTGGTAAAGCCTATTATGACTTATGGGGCAGAAGTTTGGCAGATCACGAAAAAATATAGAAAAAGAATAGAAGTAGTAGAAATGGATTTTCTAAGGAGAGCGTGTGGTGTATCCAAAAAAGATCATATCAGGAATGAAGATATTAGAAGGAGGACAAATACTGTACATTCCAGTGTAGATAAAATTAAAACAAGACAACTAGTGTGGTACGGTCACGTGAAGCGAATGAATAAAAATAGATGGCCAAAGAAAGCTTTAAATTACATACCACAACAAAGAAGAAGAAGGGGAAGGCCTTCAGTTGCCTGGGAAGAAAATGTACGGCACATAATGAGAGATAGAGCCATCAAAAAAGACGAATAGATGGCCAGAAAACGATGGCAGTCGAAATGCGAGAAGCGGCAGAGGCTGTAGGAACCTCGCTTATAGATAGATAAGTTTAACTCAAACTTATCAAACTCAAACTCATCAGAGTTTTTGATGTCTAACAATCTGGTAGCTTGCGATAATGTAGAAATTCACACTAACAAATCTTAAATAGTAAAGTGTTAGGATTACACTGAAACCCGCAAGAAGATAGTTTTCGTTTTTCTAGTCCTCTAATTAAAGGTAAGCTTATTAAACGTCGCATAGTGTCAATAATAAGTCAGTGTTTTGAGCCAATAGGCATCATTAACCCGTTCGTTTTAAAGGGAACGCTGTTAATGTTACAACAGTAAAAGAAATCTGTGTGAGAAATTTACAAGGCAGGTCAAAACTAAAAAAGCAGGCTTGGATGACAGATGACATATTGGATTTGATGGAACAACGGCGACTAGCGAAAAACAACGAAACACTTTACAACAGCATACAAAAAGAAATTCGACGTAAAATACGAGAAGCAAAGAGTCAACATCTAGCCAAATAGTGTCATGACATTGAAGAACTTGAAAAAACATACGACACGTTTAACATGTATAAAAAAGTGAAAGAAGCGGCTGGTATCTTCAATACGAAATAAACTGCATTGCTACAGGATGAAAATAATAAACTATTTGAAGTAGAGGACAAACTTAAAGAATGGGAAAATTACGTCACAAACCTATTCGAAGACGATAGGAGTAGTTCACCTCCGGATATTACTAACTGCGACGGACCCCTAATAACACGCTCTGAGGTTATAAAAGCCATATAATCATCAAAAGATTGCAGAGCGACTGGTCCTGATGAAATTCCAACTGAAATATATAAGCTTATAAATGATAGCAATGTTTTAGAGGCTATACATTGGTTTTTCAATACCATTTATACCAGCGGACAACTACCTAATGGTTGGTCTAATTCACTATTTATAGCTCTACCTAAGAAGACAACAGCAAAAACCTGTGTTGACTATAAAACAATCAGTTTGTTAAACCACTTATTGAAAATTTTTCTGAAGGTAATACATGGTCGTATCTACAATAAACGCGAGGAATACCTGGATGACACTCAGTTTGGTTTCCGTAACAGGTTTGGAACGACAGACGCACTGTTTAGAATGAACGTAATTGCTCAAATATGTCGTGATATATCTGTAGACATATACTGTTGTTTTATTGACTTCCAAGAGGCATTTGATCGTGTTAAGCACTCTATATTGATCGAAGCACTAAAAGACATTGGCTTGGACGGCAGAGATGTTCGAATAATTGCAAATTTATATTGGAATCAAAGAACATCAGTTTTAGTAGATGGTGTGGAATCACAGGCTCTCAATATTAAAAGAGGAGTACGGCAGGGATGCCTCTTGTCACCCCTGCTTTTTAACGTTACTCCGAAAGAATTTTCAGAAAAGCACTTTCTGAAAAACAAGAAGGAATACTTGTGAACGGCAAGTCATCAATAATTTGCGATATGCGGAGCGATACAGTACTCTTAGCTTCTAGTCAAGAAGATCTGCAAACACTACTTGATAGTGTCGTTGAGAGTTGTAGGGAGGCAGGTCTGGATCTTACCATACGGAAAACCAAAACACTCGTAATAAGTAAACAACAGCATATAAAACCGTCTATATATGTAAATAATACCAAACTTGAGCAAGTTGATAAAATCGTTTACCTTGGACAGCAATTAAATTGTAACACAGAAAAGTCACGGCGAAATTAGATCTAAGATAGAGCAGGCTAGAGCGGCTTTTAGAAGGATGTCCAAGGTGTTATGTAACAGAGACCTAAAATTGGCATTGAGGATCCGTCTACTTCGCTGCTACGTATTCTCGGTCTTACTTTCACTCGGTGTCGAGCCCTGGACTGTGAATAAAATCGATCTAAATCGCCTTGAGGCTTTCGAAATGTGGTACTATAGAAGAATTTTAAAAGTTTCCTGGGTGGAGAAGATTCGAAACTCCACAATACTAGAACGTCTC